TTCTTCTACCACCGAAACTGCAGGTACAGACTCGATATTTCTTTGCGTTGTTTTGTCGTGTCCTGCAGTCTCTGAACTTAGCTACTGTAATAGCAGACCCCGTCCTCTGAGGTGTGTCTTTTAGGAGCTTCCGACTCCTAAACTTGAGATGCCTGGGTTCTTTAAAGGGATAGTGTGACATCTGCCCTTTGGTTCACTTTTTTTTTAATGGAGTCCGCAGGTTTGGGGACTTGCAGTTTTTCTTCCGAATGTCACAGTAGAATGTGTCTGTGGCATAGAACAATGCAGCCCCTTCCATCCTGCAGTCTAATAGCAAGTGTCAGAATTTCGAGTCACTTAAAAACAGATTGTTTTTTAAGTCTGGTGTACTAGAATTCTTTAGGTTGTTTAATTTCCAAGTCCAGGAGTTAGAAAACTGAAGGTTTTTTTTATTATTATTATTTTTTTGAAAGCATGTCAGGTCGAAATCTCATGCATTATTACTTGAAAATTTTGCACTTAATTCCAACACAACACCGAAAGTTAAGTCTAGGATTACAGAGTGCATTGAATTACAGATTAACCGATTGTCTCCCTGTCATTTAATAAGATCCTGGCTCCCGCACAAGCAACCTAATACCTGAATTCTACTATGACTAAGCACATCTTTACTTATTGTGGATTATTTCAAGGAAATATGGAATGATGTTGCTTTTAAAGTAATTCTATCAACTACGTAGTTAGACTTGTTCTGGAGTGTTCGTTACAGTACTGGGGACTATAGAAAGAAGGTAATGTTTTGCTATGAAAAACTAGCCTCCCTTCACTGTTAACTGTGTTGTTGCCTTATTATAGGGAGGGTCTGCTGCTCTGGGCTTCTCTGTTCTGCATTATTGGCAAGCACTGAGAAACATGGAGAAGCAGACATGTTTGTGAGTGGAAAAGTGAAATCTGATTCTCTCAAACCATGGGTGAGGGAGAGCTGGGTATTTTAGTGGATGATTGTAAAATGATTTAGCTCACCCCTGCCCCAGCTTGTTTGCTTGAGGCATGGGGACAAGTGTCGGAGGAAAGCTGAATTTAAGAGAATTTTAAGAGATGTCGAGTCTTAAGTGTGTGAGGGTAAAATGGGCGAAGTAATTATTTTAAATGCCAAACACCAGGCTTTTGTGAAAATTCACATTGTCGCCCCCCTCCCCCCAGGGTTTCTCTGTGTAGCTTTGGAGCCTATCCTGGCACTCGCTCTGGAGACCAGGCTGGCCTTGAACTCACAGAGATCCGCCTGCCTCTGCCTCCCGAGTGCTGGCTTCACATTGTTTCTTAATACAACCTAGATCAGAAAGCTTCAGAGGTACCTTAAGTTAGTAGATAGTAACATTGGAGGATTGTCTACCTCAAAATCACAGACTTTAACAGTTGCTTGTGAGTCAAGCTTGGTACACACCTTTAGTCTCTGCACTGGAGGCAGAGGCAGGTAGATCTCTGAGTTTAAGACTAGCTCTGTCTACAGAGCAAGTTCCAGGACTGCCAGGGCTACACAGAAGAACCCCTTCTCAAAAAACAAACAACCCCTAAAAAAAAGTTGCATATGAATTTTAAAGAGGTCTTGAATTAATCCTCTTTGGAGCAATGTGGGAGAAATCTGAAGGTGATAAGAAATTTCAGGCTTGCTTTGAGCTTTTAGTTTTAGATTTTTTTTTTTACTTTCCCTCAAATTCAAGTCATGTTAGGAGTTTTCGGTTTCCTACCTTTTTTATATATGAATTATATTTTTCCTAATGGCTCATATTTTATCTGAGTCCATGAGATTTTTGGAGATTTGGGCTGTTGAGTTCCGTTTTTGAGACAGGGTCTCATGAAACCCAGGCTAGCCTCATACTTCCTTCCTATGTGTCAAGATGGCTTTGGACTCCTGATCCTTCTGGTTGCCTAAATGCTGGGATTATGGCATGTACTTATTTACTGGCTCACCTTTTGGACAGGAGGAGAGGACAGTGTTAGGTAATTATACTACTGAGCTATATCCACAGCCTCTTTGGTATTTTGTTTTGAAGCAGGCCCTTACTGAGTTCTCCCAGGCTGGCTTGAACTCATTATATAACCTGGGCAGTCCTTGAATTTATTATCCTCCTGGCCTTAGTCTTCCAAATATTGGGCATTACAGGACTGGTTTCTCTGTGTAGTGCTGGAACTCATTCTGTAGGCCAGGCTGGCCTCAAACTCACAGAGATCTATGCCTGTCTCTGCCTCCCCAGTGCTGGTTTAAAGGCAAGCACTGCTGCTGCCCAGCCATTTATTTTTAATAAATTTAAATACATATGTATATTTTGTTTTTTGAGACAGGTTCACAGGTAGCTCAGGCTGGACTTGAACTTGGCTGTGTACCCTGGGTCTGAATTCCTGCCTCTCCAGTACTTTTATAGGCATGTGCCACCATGACTTAAATGCATTTTGTTCTTGTTTTGCTGTTTTTGAGACAAGGTCTTTCTATGTAGCTCTGACTGACCTGGAACTCACTATTTAGACCAGGCTGGCTTCAGACCCAAAGATCTGCCTGCCTCTGCCTCCTGAGTTAGGAATTACAGGTGTGTGCCACCACACCTGGCTTAAAGTGAAATCATTTTATGTATTTATTTATTTATTTATTTATTTTCTTCAAGACAGGATTTCTCTGTGGCTTTGGAGGCTGTCCTGGAACTAGCTCTTGTAGACCAGGCTGCTCTCGAACTCACAGAGATCCACCTGCCTCTACCTCCCGAGTGCTGGGACTAAAGGCATGTGCCAAGCTTCAAAATGAATTTGGTTTTTGAGACAGGGTTTTTCTGTGTAGCTTTGGAGCCCATCTTGGCACTCGCTTTGTAGACCAGGCTGACCTCGAACTCCCAGAGGTCTGCCTGCCTCTGCCTCACAAGTGCTGGGATTAAAGGCCTATGCCACCAACACCCAGCCAAAATGAATTTTTGAAGCAGATTTTTTTACTGTAGGGACTTAGCCAGAGGATCTCAAACTTGGACACCTGAACAGTGGGTATTGAAAAATTAAAATGGTCTCTTCTAAGTTTAAGCTCCTTGTGGGATTTAGGGATCACATTGACACTTGCTTATAATGTCTTTTATTTTCTTGTGTGTAGGCTTGCATTTGTTTATAAGTGTGTGTATCCTAGTCTACTCTTTGGAGTCATTTGTTTTTCACTGGTAGATTTCACTGTAAGAAATTTACTTTCATTTGATAGCTTTGTTTACTTTGGACTGACTTCACTCAGCTTTGTAGGTAGTTAATTGTGGCAGTTAATTTTTCATATTGTGTAATTTCTCAGTGGGAGCATAGAAAGCATGTATCTTAAAATTTTTGAGAAGTTAACAAATGGCTGCCAGGCCTGATAACTAAGCTTAATCCCTGGAACCCACATAGTGGAAAGAGAGAACTGCCTCCTGCAATTTGTTCTCTGACCTCTGCATGTTGCTGAGCTATATGCACACCCACACTTTATATTCTAAAGTAAATGTCACATACAGATAACTCTTAATACCAGTTGTAAATTCAGCACTGCCTTTAAGTGGACCTTTAAAGCCAATGTTTAAAGGAGCTGTACTTGGGAATTTCTCTCTCTCTCTCTCTCTCTCTCTCTCTCGACAGGGTTTCTCTGTGTAGCTTTGGAGCCTATCCTGGCACTCGATCTGGAGCCCAGGCTGGGCATGAACTCACAGAGATCCGCCTGCCTCTGCCTCCCGAGTGCTGGGATTAAAGTTGTGGAATTTTTTTAAAATAAAAACAATTATAGGCTGATTTGTGAAGAACTTGGAACTGTACAGAAGCTCTAGTTACAGCTTCCTGACAGACTAGTTGATGAAATATCTTGTGGAATTAACAGCTTACATTTCTTAATTCACTGCATCTTTTTTAGATGCCTTCGATAAAGTTGCAGAGTTCTGATGGAGAGATATTTGAAGTTGATGTAGAAATTGCCAAACAATCTGTGACCATCAAGACCATGCTGGAAGGTAACTATGAAATCTTGGTGTGAAAAAGTGGGATGTGTAACTTAGGATGGTGGTATGTAACCTGTAAGTATTAGGTTTACTTGAGCCAGTCTGTTACAAGCTTCTGAGTAAAAAAGGTAGTTTCCTTTCTGCATTGTATGAATAAAACTACAAGCTATTAAAGTGTTGGGTTTTTTTGTTTTTAAGATTTGCTAGGCATGATGGCTCACACCTTTAATTCCAGCACTTAGCAGAGGCAGGGGAATCTCTGAGTTCCAGGCCAGCCAAAACTACATAGTGAGAACCCTGTCTCACAAAATTTACTGTGTGAGCAGGCATGCCATGTCATGTCAGATAATGTATTTTAGGAGTCAGTTTTCTTCTTTTCACCTCCCCTACTCTACCTTGTTGGGGTTTGTTGTGTTTTTGCTTTTTCTACATAGCCCTGGCTGTCTTGGAACTCTGTCTGTAGACCAGGCTGGCCTTGAATTCAGGGATATCTACCTGTCTCTGCCTCCCATGAACAGGAATTAAAGGTGTACACTATTATACCTGGCTACATTTTTTTTAAGGATTTATTATTTATTATGTGTGTGTTTAGATATATGCACATGTTTGCAAGTGTCTGTGAAGACCAGAGGCATTGGATTCTGCTGGAGCTTGAGTTAACAGGTGCTTGTGAGTTGCCCAGTATGGTGCCAGAACTGGGTCTGCTACAAGAGCAGTCAGTACATGCTCCTGACCACTAAGCCATCTCTGCAGTCCATTTTGAGGCTGGTTCTCTTCTGCTGCTGCAATACACACCCTTACCTCCTTGCCAAGAGTGCTGAGATTACATATATAAGCCTTGACATCCAACTTTTTTTGTTCTTTGTTTTTCCAGACAGGGCTTCTCTGTGTAAAGCCCTGACTGTTCTGGAACTCACTCTTTAGACCAGGCTGGCCTCAAACTCAGAGATCCTCCTGCCTCTGCCTCTCAAGTGCTGGGATTAAAGGCACAAACCACCATGTCTGGCTACAATAGTCCATTTCTGTTTAAAATAAATTGGATTTACAAATCTTTGTTTTTCCTAATAAAAATTGAAGCATTTGGAAAGGGTAATGTTGCTGTGTGACAGTTAAATAGAACTACTATTGAAGGAAGTGAGCTCTGTGAATTAGATGCTGTTGAAGACTTTTATTTTTTAAAATTATTTTTCTGTATATGGCTGTTTTGCCTGCATATGTGTTGCGCACTATGTTCATGTAGAGGACAGAAGATGGCATCAGATCCCCTGGAATTGGAGCTGCTAGATGTGGGAGCTGGGAACCAAACAAACCCAGGTCCTCTGCAAAAGTAACAAGTGCTCATAACTCCCTGGCCCCTGCATTTAATTTTTATTATGTATCTCTGTTAGTGTATGTGCATACCTCAGGACAACTTTAGTTCTCTCTCTCTCTGTTGTGAGTTCTGAGGATCATTGAATCAGGTAGTCAGACTTGCATAGCAAGCACATTTTACCCAAGGTGTCTTTGTTTTTCAAACAAGCTTTCCTTTTTGTCTACTTGCTATCCTGATGAAACTGCCGCAACACATTTGTGTGATTGAACAAAGGTAGGATAAGACAATAGGTCCTGAAACATTGAAAGCTTACTAGTTAATAGTAATAGTATATATAGGAAATATGTACACGCCTGTGTTTAAAATTGATGGGAGAAATAACAATAAGAAGTTCTCTATTACTTAGAGGTCCTAGGGTTTTGCATAGAAAGGTCTGCAACTTAATAAATGCAGGTATAGTGGCCTATGTCTATAATGTTAGCACTTGGGAGGTTGGGGCGGACCCTGGAATGGGTGTGGGAGATATATATGAACTCTAGCTATATAAGCTGGCAAAAAGTTTAAACATGGTCTTTTTCTTACAGAATTTACAAACTAGAAAGGATGCCAGATACTAAACAAAACTCACTCAGTACACTTAGTGCATTGTAAAGTTGTATGCCATGTGGTGCTGCAGGAGCTGCTTGACTGGTGTCATTCTATGTTTAGAAAGACTACAGTGTGTGGTACTAGTGAGATGTTAATATTTTAAAGCCCGTGATTGTGGGAAGTTATACTGAGGTAAAGTAGGTGGATTGTTAAGGAAAATTAAGCATAGAAGATCTATGTCAGCTTGTGTTACATAGAAAGTTTAAGGCCAGCCTGACCTACATGAGACCTGTTCTCAAAAAAGGAGAATTGAGGAACTGAAAAGACATTTCAGTGGCTATGAACACTTGCTGCTTTTTTTTTTTTTTTTTTTTTTTTTTTTTTGAGATAGGGTTTCTCTGTGTAGCTTTGGAGCCTATCCCGGCACTCACTCTGGAGACCAGGCTGGCCTCACAGAGATCCTTCTGCCTCTATCTCCCGAGTGCTGGGATTAAAAGTGTGCGCCACCAACACCCAGCACTTGCTGCTCTTGCAAAAGACCAGAATTTGGTTTTCAGCACCTATACCAGACACCTTACAACTGCTTGCAACCCAGTTCCAGGGGATCAGACTCACTCTTTTGGACTCTGCAGGCACAGCGCGCGCGCACACACACACACACACACACACACACACACAC